TGATCCCTGATGATCAGAAATGATTTCTAATGTCATAAAAATAATGAATATAATATAAAGTGAGTGAGAGAAAAAATCCTAAGTAAAAATAGGAATAAAATATGTTTATCACGCAAAGAACAAGTGATTGTGTGTCGGTGTGTGTGTGTGTCGGTGTGTGTGTGCACGCACGCTGCTGTGTTGCGCAACTGGCTCCTCACTTTGCACACGAGTTTATTACCATAATTACTGTAAACACAGAGGAACTTAAATGTTTGGTAGAACATAGATCTTAGTTTATTTCATAGCTGATATGAAGAAACGAGTCTCTGTGTCTCAGTAGAGTTCACATGACGTGACGTGATGTTGGAGAGTCTCCACAAACACTGCCAGCACCGCAGCCTTTGAGTGCAGTCTGTTTGTCCAGCCTTTGCTCTCCTTCTTACAGCATTTTCACAAGTTGTAAAGTGAACTTCCACTTGTCATTTTGAAGAAATCTGCAACAACGTAAACGCAAAGTATAAAACACCTCCACTGCTGGCGAGGGTGCACGCTCCAGAGCGCGACCATAACTCAGCCTTTAGAATCATGTGGATGAGACCATTTCATTGGTCATGACTCAGCTTTGGGTGGACTGGACTGACACGGTCCTGATGGTTCTGCCAGCTCCCTCTGGAAAGCTCCTGTGGAACCCCAGTTCAATCGCTGCTGCTGCACGTGCACACGTGGTGCACGTGGCTACTTGCTGTGTCGCGGTCCCAGAGCGCAGCAGTGCCAAACTAAAAATGATTTTTCCTCAAAACGACTGATGAGCCACTCGTCATCAGATAATTATATCTGTTTATAAATAAAAGTTCTGCGTGTTACACTTTATTATATCCTCCAGTAAGGCTGAATCTGTTCCTGGTAAATGTGTTTTTGGCACAATTTTGCACGTCTTTTATTGAACTGCGTCCATGTGGATGTAATAATTATTAATCATGTGGATGTAATAACTGTTAATCATGTAGATGTAAAATAACTGTTAATCACGTGGATGTAATAATTGTTAATCATGTGGATGTAATAATTGTTAATCACGTGGATGTAATAATTGTTAATCATGTGGATGTAATAATTGTTAATCATGTGGATGTAATAATTGTTAATCACATGGATGTAATAATTGTTAATCACGTGGATGTAATAATT